AATCTTGCAATATTTGATTGTGATATAATTTTCAAAATCAAACACTCGAAAAAATTATACACGCTATTTCATAACCTATTTCATACTTATCAAATGTTCTGATTCTGAAGCAATGTTTACTTACATTTTATAAAAACCTATCTCTGCCATCATTTAATAATCCGATCTGACAGGTTTATAAAAACAAACAATAAAGGTATAAACAATATAAAAAATTACTTAATATCAAATCAGGAATTACTTATTTTACTCATACTTCATCTAATCAATTGCATTTGCTCCGTAAAGCACCAAAAGGTCTGTCATATTAATATATTTAGTTAGAATTAAATATTTGCAAACTTTTATATCAGGCTGTTGTCAAGACATTGTTTAAAACAGCAAAAAAAGAAAAAACAATCTAATTGTCCAACGATAAGGGAATAGCTAAATAAAATACATTACCTTTCAAATGATCATATATACCTATATTTACTAACTTGGAAAGATAGCCATGAAAATAGATTACAAATAAAGACTAGTGTGATTTCTTTTTGTAATGAATATACAAACCCATATGTTCACAGAAAGTCTAAATGGATACATACCCAGATGTTAACCATGGTATTTCTAAGTGCTGGGATTACAGGTGCTGTTTATTTTTTACATACTTATGAAATTTTTCCCAAGCAAAATGGTATTTGCAAGAATGTCTATGATTCCAACAAACTCCAAAATCTTCCTTGTAAAAATACCATATATCCCAAAATATCCTGGCATAGAGAAAGAGAGCAAGTATTAGCAACATCACTAGGATTCTTAGTGAGCAAGGCACTGGAGAGGGCTCCTGAACTAACACGGCATCTCTAAGGCAGCCTGTACAGTACAGGATTTTGAAATCACAAGACCTAGGTTGAAGTTCCTGCCACTTTTATTTGTATGACCTTGTGCTAGTCACTTACCCTTTCTGTGCTCGCTTTCTAAATAAAAGGGAGATATTACCTGCCTTTCCTACCTCAAAGAACTGTTGTAAAGATCAAATGACACAATATGATACATTATGAACTGCAAAGGACTATATATTATTCGAATAGTTTAAGTTTAAAAAAAAAACCAAAGAAACAAAAAACATGGTGCTTAATGCCAGAGCAGAATACTTCAGAAAACACTACAACTAATTCTATGAAGTAACGAACCAGGGGTTTTATTAATTTTCAAAGGCTACATCTCATCATAAACTCCCAGTTTTTCAGGAACTTAGATACTTCTTCCCAGTTCCAATTACAACTATTTTGTTTTTTTTATCCCTAGCTACCATCAAGAAAGGGTACGAATTACACTAAACTCAAAAGCCTCAGAAAGAACCCTGAAACAGCATGTTGATGGAGTTCACCAAAAGAAACCCAAGGTTAATCAGCTATGGACTCACCACTAAGCACTACAGCAATCAACAGGGATTACAGGAGACTCTTTGAAGAGAAAGACAATACAACCACCTAGGGAAAGGCAGTATTTCAAAACAATTATATGAAATCCTTAAAAACTAAAGTGTCTTATCAACTGTTTTAAAATGTTGTTCATAAAAATGATGACTTAAAACAAAAGCCATCTAAATGTGGCACTTGACAAAACCAAGTTATGGAGATTCAAATCAAATCCATTAATAAATTGTCAGATTTACTTGCTTCTATCTTAAATAAAAGCAGACAAATTTTACCCCAAAGATCAAAACTGAGTGGCTATTTCTTGAAAATAAGGAGGCAGAATATGATAACAGAATTTACTGAAATGCTTATTGACACTTTTAAAAGTATGGTTTTAAAAGTATGGTTTCTCTTCCCATTGAATTCCATTATTTACTCCACTAAAATGAACTTCTTCCTTCCCACTGTTCCTACTGTTAGCTAAAATAATGATATACGTAACTTGAAGTGAATTTTAATGCAAACAACCTTTGTAATGGGGAAAAAAAAGTATTTTAAGAAGAGCTACATGAAACTGTCAGATTATTAACTTCCGAGATCATCAGGCCATCACACCCTCCCGCTTTTAAGTTTCTGAAGGTAATAAAATGCTCACCCTACATTCTCACAAATGCCATTTATGGGTATTGCACTAATGAAAAATTAAACCTTTCATAATCAAATGTGCACAGAGAACTCTTTTTGATATGTATGACTCACAATCCAATTTTTATTGACAATATCTTTAAGTGTTGAGCTTGCACTATTCCTACAGGAGATATAGATCTATACACTCTTCCCATCCAATCTTTGTAGATTTGTTATAGATTTAAAAGGAACTCACTAAAATGGGCCATGAGGAAAATAATTATGAACACAATCCACAGCAAAATGAAATGTGGGTTGTGAATTAAGATAACAAAAAAGTCACTGCATTTATTTAAAGCCTCCTAGTTGTTAATCTATTGGAAGTATGTACTGTATTTTCACCTGAAACTTTGAAACATCTGGGTTTTTCTTAATTCGTACTCTTACTTTTCCTGTCTTATTAGGAATAAACGCTATTTACTTCCAAAAACCACAAATAAAAAAACATCACAAAAGATAATTTCCATAAAGAGTATCTTCCAAAGCTTACTGCACAGAAAATTACTTACACATTCTAAAATAACTATGGTAGGCGTTCCTAAGATCATCTCCCCCTCCAAAAATAAGAACAGCAAGTCAAGTAGTAACAAAAATTTTAATACAACTCACCAACTAAGCAATTTATCACAGCTCCTCAAAGAACTGGGCACACGCAATGACAGACCAGTATGTCAAAACAGTTATATAATTTGAAAAAATTGTACAACAGGAACATAAAAGTAGAAAACAACTCCTCTGGAAAAACTCAAGTAGATTTTGGAGAGAGCAAAAAAGGGAGAATAATTTTAGAAAAATGTTTCCCCCAAGTGTTCAGCGTTTATCTGATACAGGCTCATTTTTGTAAAGAGAAACTTTACCTAACAAGACTCACACCAGGGATCTGATCTATCCCCAAAGGCACTTTCTTAAAATGAGAAAGAACAAAGGAGGAAATCTCCCAGCATGTGCTTTCCATACCAGTTTCTGTGGACAGCATCAAGAATGACAATATAGCCAGCACAAGCTTTTCAGCTTTACTCTGTGGTCTATGTATACCAGAACTGATTGGCTACAATTCGAAAGGATTTCTACAAAATAAATATTAGCAGGCAAAGATCACATAGTGACTCATTTTAAGAGTAAAACTATATAGAAAACATGTATCTTAAAGTTGTGTACTCTTTATTTCAAGAGTTAATTACCTCCAAATATTCAAATTCCTGAGGCTTTTCATTTCACCCAATGGTTTGAAAATAATTTAAAAAAAACACGAAAACTAACCATTCTAAATCTGCTCTCCCTCAAATTAATTTGCAATTACAAGTAAATTTTAAAAGAATGCCAGTCAAAGACAGTGTCTTAATATACAAATTTTGGAATGTTAACATTGCAAAATATTGGGGGAAACGATCCTTCAGCGAAGCTTTCCACAGAAAAACTCTCCAGAAACAAACCTGGTTTGGTTGGTTGTTCTAGAAGTTGTCATTACATTATAACGGAGGAAATTTTTTAAATGATTTTTATTAATTATAAAAGAGGACCCCTCAAAGATTTACAACTGTATATCCCAATCTCCACTGACAGAGACGTCAGTTCTCTGGGTCAGGATACAACCAGCTGCTTGGTTCACACAACAGGAAGCCACAGAGAAGGGGAGATCGCGTTCAGAGCCTTGAAATAATACGCGTTAGTTAAAAACTGCCTACTACTAAACCAAAATTATTCAAGCGGAGCCCCATTTGTCACAATCCAATCATAAGGGTTCCACCCCCCCCCCTCCCCCAACTGCTTGTGTAGTGTGGTATACTTGCTTCGGTAAAGAAGCCATCATCAGGTAAAGATTGGGGTGGGAAAAAGAGCGGGGAAAAGGGGGCACCCTTTCATCCAATTTCGCGAGGCGTGAGTAATTGGTACAGTTGAGAGGAACGGAGGAACGTTCTATTTATTGGGGGTTGAAGTAGGATGAGGGAAGAATTTCGTTCAAATCAATATGGCCAGCAAGATGTCCCTACAAACAAAAGGCAACGGGGGGATATAAACACGAACCATTCACCTCCATCAGCTATAGCATCGCCATCATGGTGTGTGCCGAGACCCCCAAAGGCCCCTCTCACCCTCCACACCAGCCAAACCAAGAGAAGATCGAGGAGAGAGGTACTTCCCACCACCCACCACTGCTTCTAAATCGGGGGTTTCTCCCTCCGGTTGCCCCAAATCGGAGAGAGAGTAACGTCCCGCCCAGGCGGGCTCCCCCGCTACCCCTCAACCGAACCCCAACGCCGGCCCGGAGCTCGCTAAACTTTACTGAAGCTTCTGCTCACATCCCCACCCCTTCTCCCCAGGATCGCGCTGCCCACAAGCGGGGCACCTCGGGAGCCTCCTGACAGGCGGGCAGCTGGGGAGAGCCGAGTCCTGGGCGGGGGCGGCAGGGAGCAACGGAGGGGCGGGGCGGCCGGAGCCAAGTTCCCGGGGGTCTGAGGAACAGCGCCTGACAGGAGCCCGGGAGTGCAGAGGAAGAGGAAGCGGCGGCGGGGCGCTTTCCCAATCCCCCCTACATGTACACCCTGCTCTAGCCCCCGCTCCCCATGGGGGGCGGGGAGGCTGACTGGACGCGGAGGAAGCCGAGCCCCAGGGGCAGCCGCAGCCCCCACCTCCCGACTCCGGATCTCTTCCCCCGCCACCCCCGCCAGAGGCGCCCACAACAATAACACGCCGGGGACGACCCGTCAGCGCCCCGGAGGCACCAGGGGCCCGCGGCCCGCCGCTGCCGGGCCCCCTAAGCTGAGGCCTGGCGCGCCGCTCCTCCCTACAACTCCAGACCCGGGTGGAGTCAGGCCTGAGCGGCCCTCCAGGGTCGGACCCATATCCCCCGACACCAGCGGCGCCGTCTCCGCGGCCGAATATTAGAAGTGAATTCGAGCTGCGCTTTACCTTTAGTTCCGCACTGTCCGCCATCTTGCGTCTGTCAGCGCAAGCGCACTGAACCTCGCCAGGGGCCGCCGCTAGACCCGCCCCTCTAGCCAGCCTGGCCCCGCCTCGGCCCGTCCCCTCTCGCCCCTCCACCTCCCCGTCCCGCCCCCGGCCTCCGCCCCGCTCCTGGAGTTCGGAGCCCCGCCCCGGGCACGTACAGCTGCGAAACGGACACGTACTATTTAAATAATGGCGCCAAGCGAGGAGGTTTGACAGTTACTCCCCCCTCGGCCTCCCCAACCCCCATCCTGGCCCGGCTAGTACCTCCAGAGAAAGGCGGTAGCGAGAGGGCTGCTGGCCTGAGCCCCGCCCCTCCGCGGCCTGCGGAACCCTTCTGCAAAGCTTCGATGGCTACCGTCACATGAAACAATAATGTCCCCCTCCCCTCAATCGGCAAGTCCTTTTCAGCACCTGCTACCTGCGAGACTACCCGTAGGCTAAAAATAACAATCCGTTACGTTTAAAGATCACTTGATGAAGCATATCCAGGTTTATTAGCTCAGTTCCTCCTCACGACAACTCAGTGAGGTAGGGAGGGAAGAGTTTACAATTCCCGTGATATACTCAGAAATGAAAGCTCCGAGAGGAAAAGTGACCTGCCCAAACACGCACTTAACAGGGATGGCCTAAGACAAAATTCTGAAGACGTTCATTCATTAACTTAATGGTTTCAGCAAGTCGTTAATTAGTGACCATGTGCCGGCCCTGTTTCTAAAGTCTATAGGTACATTGGGAAATTAAATACAACAAAGTCCCTGTCCACCTGTAGTTCTCAAATCAGGGAACAGACAACCAGTAAGGATACAATTACATTGTATCTTTTACAGATACAACTGGTTGAAAAGGAGTCCCAGTGGGGTCTTAAGAAAATCTCCATGGTGAGACATTGAGAGAAGTTCAGGGGGAAAAGTGTTTCAAAAGAAAGGAAGCCTTTCACTTGTTTGCAATTCTGCTGAGAGGTCAATTTAGATAAGAATAGAGAATTCACAGTTGGTTTTGGAAACATGGAGATCATGTTATACAACTGTTGATGAGTACCAGAAAAGAGCAAATGGTCCAATGAAAGAAAAAGGGGTTGGGAGGAGATGTTTGTAATCCTGGGAGGGCTTTCTCCACTAAATTAACATTTAAGTAGACATGATGAAAG